AGCAACTTCAATTATGCGCAAGCCACACAACGAAAAAGGGGAGAATGAATTTGCCGAGATGGAGTACATGAACATCACTGTAGTTACTTCAAATGAGCCCTATGGGATATCTGATGGCTCCAATCCATTCTTTGATGGGCGTAAAACCCCTAAATTTAACTTGAAAAAAGATGGAGTTCATGGTGGCCATGTCCAGACTGGACTTCGTGATCCATTTTGCCTCGTGAAAAAGGGGAAGGGACGGTGCAAGGTACATCTCTTTCTGGCTTTTCATATTCTTTTGGTTAATGATGCAAGGACTACTTTTAATCGTTATGAAATAGTCATTTTGACCATCTCTGGCAGAATAATATTTCTAGTTCGTGTAGCTTGATTATGAAGAATTAACCAATAGCTTATCTATGCACCAAATTTGATGGCAACATACATAAAGTCACTCTTCCAACATAATAGCTCTCTTGCAACGAAGAGGGTTAGCTAAAGCATTTTGTAGTAGATCCTCTAGATTCATCAACAAGCATCTTTAACCCTTGTTTTTATGGTTTTCTCCGCTTGCATTGTACTTGCTGCTACAGCAGGAATTTCTTTGCTTTCATTTTCTCTTATCCTATAATGATTTTATATCTGCAATTTTTCTGATAAGCAATTCACTGCATATTAATAGGATGGCTATACAACAGAGGTAACTGGTCAAGGAGCAGTGCGTGTGCTTGTTGCTGTTAGAGCAAAACGTAATCGTGACAGAAGCAGCCCTCTAAACAGAGAGTTCTTTAGAAGCTTTCTTGATGTATGTTAATCCAGTCTGCTTCACTTCATAAACTTGAACAGCTACTCATATGGTTTCACTTTTTGTCAATATATGTAAGCAGAAGGCATCAATCATGCTAGCTTCAGTTACATGTTCCAGTTTAGTCCAGGATGCACAAAATTTACACGACTCCACAATATCTCTCATGGCTGCAGGTTCTAAACCATCCTCAACACTCAGGAAGATTCAACATTACAACACAATTTCCTCGTTACAAAGAAATTCTTTACAAACCAGATTTCAGGGGAAGGAGACTTGGCAAGAATGTTGTGTTTGACATGGACATGAGTGCTGGAGACTTTCTAGCTCTTTTTTACCTCCTTAAATTACCTGTGGAAACTATCAATCTTAAGGTACACCAGCCTTTTGCATTTACTGTTCCACTGCAAGTTATAGATTATGTTGTATACGTAGCTCAAGCGAGACTGATCCAAGAACTTTAATAATTTTCATTTATCTGTCTTCATAGTTCTCTGACACATGACTTCTTTGATATGGATCATCATTCAAGGAAAGAAAAATTCATCTCATCCTACTTTGTAATTCTATGACTATAGTTTCTCAAGATTTCTACAAGTTTGTTTGGTAATTGTGGTTTTAGTCTGTGAGAAGCAGAATTCTTAATTTTATGGATCATTTCTGTGAAAGTTAGATATTTGATGGGAACTAGTTTTCTAGCATTCATGAGAAAATGATTTTCTGATATGTATCTCGTCATTTCTGATAGGCTGTGCTGGTTACTCCAACTGGATGGGCAAATGCGGCAACGATAGATGCTGTCTATGATTTACTGCATATGATGGGTCGTGATGACATTCCTGTTGGCCTTGGGGATATGTTTGCATTGAACCAATCTGTTCCAAAGTCTGCTGTGGGTGACTGCAAGTATAACAAGGCTATTCCTCATGGTAGTGGTGGATTTCTAGACTCAGATACTCTCTATGGATTAGCTCGTGATTTGCCACGAAGCCCTCGCAGGCATGTGTTTGCCACTGTTATATTGATCTTGCACTACTTCAACTACTAAATAATGTCAACTTCATGTGATTCATACTTCTCTGTATTTTCAAATAAATGTTGCTTTGATTGGAGCCATACATTTTGTCTGATTGAATTCAGATGATAAATCCACATTAATTGCAGGTATACAGCAGAAAATTCTGTCAAATTCGGTGCTCCTCGAGACACTGGTCACCCTGAGCTCAGACAACCGCTTGCACTGGAGATATGGCAGTCACTAGTGAAAACTCTAGATCCAGGGTCTAAGGTTACCATTTTGACCAATGGACCACTGACTACTCTAGCACACATTGTTGATTTGGGCAAGAATGTAACCTCTTTTATTGAGGTGAGTGGCTCTTCCATACTGATTGTGTTATAAATAAAGAAAAGAAACTGAGGCCATAGGCATGAGAAAGGAGGTTAACATATAAATCAGTCCCTGTTTCAATATTCAATACCTAAACTCCTGTTTCTTATGTACCTCCAGCATGGTCTTTTTCATTCTCTTAGCCCTTATGACATGAAGAATCCACCCATTATTCATTCTAGCTGGCTAGTTTCTCTGCATTACATTAACATCGTTAAAATTAAAGTATCACTGAGCTTTGTTAGCATCAATCTGTAAGTATCACTGTTTTTCTGGGATTTGGTTCAAGGTAATTCTATCTCAGCAAATGACAACATTAGGGGAAACAACCCCTATGGTGTTTATAACCAAAAAGCTCTGAGATAGGAAGCAACAACCACAAAATTATTATTCTCAGTAATAGTCTATACAGAAGACTGATAAGCCATTTCTAAGCACCATATTCTGAAGATATACATGCAATTGCTCATTGAGAAAATGTCTTATGCTGCATGGAATGTGAGATTGGTCTACAGTGATTAATTTTTTATCCAAAAGCTTTGCATGTCTGATGCATGGAATAGCTTATGAAGTAAGATTGGTGGATGAATACGCAAGCCTTGATTTGTGATGCAGGATGTATACATTGTTGGAGGCCACATCAATTATGATAACTGTGAGAAAGGAAATGTCATCAATGTCCCATCCAATGAATACGCAGAACTGAATATGTATCTTGATCCATTGGCTGCAAGGAGAGTTTTTGATTCAGAACTTAATATCACCCTTATTCCACTTGGAGTTCAGCGTAGAGTCAGTACGTTCCAGAAAGTTTTGCAAAGACTCTACCTCACCAAGAAGACCCCTGAGGCATTGTTTGCGAGGAATTTACTGTCTAAGTTACATGACTTGAAACAGGCACATCCTAGATACCAGCATATGGTACATCAATCTTATTGTTTACATAAATCAACTCAATATTTTGCATCTTTATCGATAGTTGAAATTTATATGTGGTTTTAATATAAAATGTCAGTGTTACCATGTGATAGGAAAATCATCTGCACTCCAGAGTCATGCTCTTAATCAATTTTTTTTTTGCATATTTTATTTGAGAACTCAATATGTTTGTTCCTGCAGGAAACATTTCTGGGGGAAATTCTTGGTGCAGTTGTTCTTGCGGGTGATCATTCAACATTGGAATCAACATTCGAAGTGAAGACTGTCAAGGTCTCTGCAAAAGGCGTTGAATCTGAAGATGGACGAATGATAGTTAGTGAAAAACAAGGGAAATTGGTTAACGTACTAGCAGATGTGAATTCAAAGGCTTATTATAACCTTTTTGCGAATCAACTTGGTGATAAAAACCAGTCTGCTATAGTTGGAAGCTTTGATGAACAGAGAAAATTGTGGAGTAAATCACCAATATAGAAGTAGGAATGCCTTTGGATAATTAGTTGACAGCATAGAAAAGAAAGTTTTTTTCTGGTGGAAATTCTTTCTGGACACCAGATATTTCCTTTGATACCTTTGATTCTTGAAATTCCAATTACAGATGACACAAATCACATAGAAGAGAAGCTGTGTCAGTTGCTTATACCAACAAAACAAAGAAAAAGGAAGTCAAACCAAGATATTTTTCTTATAGGAGCCCATGATTTTTCATTCTTTTCATTAGGCGCAGTTCCTCGTGCAATTAAATGAAATCATGAAAACAACCAAGCCTACATAATGAATACTGTAATCTGTTTATTCTAGTTTGTAAGCTGAAAAACTGTTCAGTTTCTTTTACCCGTTTATAGTTTAGGCTGTGAAGATAAACTGCCATGTTATTTCAGATGAACTAAGCACCAAATAGGGTCAATCTTCTATTTGTCCTGAAGATAATATTCATCAAAGCCTGGCATTAGCTTTGAAATATTTGAACTTGTTATAGTTAGGTTAACTCATCCTCGAAATATTCGAACTTCTTGTAGTTAGGTTTACTGATCCTTATCACCCTGAATTTTTTAACCTCTCTCAAATGCATTCAATCATTGTGTGGGATGCCGTCATTATTCCATTCTGCTACAATCGCTCTTGCTTTCTATACATGACAATATAGCTCATGCAATCCAGCTTGTGCTGTCATACTGTGGAAGCTGAAAATGGCCTTCAAATTTCCTTTGTAAGTCTCTGCATATAGCTGAATTCCTACGTTGCCGTTTCCTACAAAATTTCCTGTTAACTTTCCAGAAATTTTCTTATCTGCTTCAACTAAAGAGGCACAGGATGCTGAAATAATAATACGGCGGTGAATCAAATGGCTCTTCTCGAAAGAGTCAATAATTAATCTAATCCGAACCTTGCTATCGGTACCCGAGCCAACTATAATCAGTGGAAAATTGAAGTGTTTAATTTTCTTTTTCGTCTCAAACAGCATCTCACTCTCGCCAACAATCGCTACAGATACTTTTTTGCAGGTGAGCCCTCTATGTACTTGTATATGTTGAAGGCGTAGAAAACTTCAGTTGAACAACAAAGCAACAAGAAGCAAGACAATATAACTATGAAGAAACGAAAAGCATGTATAGGAGGCTGTCATAATTCCTGGGAAAGCATCAATCAGTCGGTCCTCTTCTTCTTTCTTCATATGCCAATGCAATGCAGACTGCAGGGCTAGGGGCTCCATTTGAATACCTAAATTTTCCGTTGTATGCGTTATTGAAGACCTAAATGAACGTGATTCAGATATGGAAGAGCAAAGAAGTTGACTTCAGTTAAATTTGATATTTTGCTGAACTTGACATTGAAGTCGATTTCTTTACTCTGGAAAAACGAACAGGAATATCAACTACTTAGATAAATAACCGATCTCAAGAATATTGATTCTATGGCTAGGGACATGCTGGCAGACCAGAAGGTGCAGCCCGGAAAATAATATCCCAACGCAGAGGCTCCACCAAATTGGTACAACTGAAACATCAGATGTACCAAAGAACAAGAACTTAAATTGATCCAAGATGATATTTGGTAACAGCTGAACAGACTGAAACCTAGTACTAGATGAAATATAAGAAAAGCTCAAGTCATTAACTTTCTGAGTTCACCAAAGCAAAGGCACACAACACCTCTTCCAGTTCCAATCAAAAATTCCTAGATACAAAACCTCACTTCTTAGAGAACCTTATGCTTAGTGATGTAACTCACTCGAAGATCCAGATAGCTTCACAAAAAGAGAGCTTATTATGGTTTTCTCTGCACAGTTCTGATTATCAAAGGACCATCTCATTCCATCATGGGAATAGCTCCCCCTGCCGTGATAATCTGCTGCTCCAGCTGCAGACAACAGTCAGAAGGCAGAATCAGGGATAGAATATAGAATACGCAACTTTATAAGCTTCAAATTTCAGAAGAACGGATAGGCTTATAAAAGTTCATCTACTCACCGTGAATAAAGTCTCAAGCTTGCTCCTCACCAGGAGATACTCTTGCTTTACTTGATGCAAGCATCTTAAGCACCTACAAGATCCCGTCACCAAGATTTCAGTTTATGAAACTAGATATTAATTGACTGGAAAAGGAAAAAACAACTCCTGGAGCTTTCATACATTGTTTAGCGAGTAAATGACTCAAGAAACATGAGAAAAGAGGAAGAAGAAGAAAAAGCTACAATAATCAAAAGGGAGTAAACCCTTGGTTCAAGACAAGATTGCAGAGACACTTACGCTTCAACATTCTGTTCTTCACAAAAATTGCGAAAAGCAACGCAGGCATTTTTTACTCTCTGAGCACCTATGCTGTGGAAGAATAATGGAAGATTTCTTCATCAAACAGTTTTGTTGCAGTTCTTTCAAATAGATGCTAAAATTATCAGTTGTGACACAGCCGATTGTCTAAGGAAATCTTGGTATTTGTAAATGCATATATGCTCAGAAAATGGGCTATCATAGAACATTCTTCCTTTTTCAATTTCTTTGATTTTTTTTAATATCAAAATGGTCATTTGTACCTGGAGCTGCTGCCCTTAAGCTGATGAACATGGGCATCGACCTTCTTGAAATCTATATTTTGCTGATCCCTGCATAAGGGGAAGAAAACGACCACTTTAAGAGACAAATATGGTTTTCAGGCTGAGGCAGATAGCAGGGGAAGATACAGGATAGAAGTTCTTACAGAGCCCTGGTGAGATCATTGAGAAGCTTGTCAGAATCTTCAAAGAAAAGAGACACCACTTCAACAACGAAGTCCGGGTTGCTCTCATCTTGCAGTTGCTGAAGCTGACTAAACTGACCATCCAAGAAGCCCTGAAATCCACATAAACTTTAAATAACAGAACAAAACTACCATAACCACCCAAGAATCTAACAACCTAAATAAAACTAACTTCCTGATATACTAATACAACATAAGAAAAACAGATACCCCATAATTTCATGACCATAAAACTGCAGTTTATGGGTTTTTACCTCCCGAAACAAAGATGCAGTGTAATCCACAAAGCTTTTCTGCAATTGACCAACCTCCATCTTTCTACCCTTTCTTTTGTCTTACTCTCTTTTGGTCTTTAGGACGATTTGAGGTTTGCTAGTTATGACAACCAATGAAAGCTTTCTGGTTGGCGTAGGCAGATCTTGTAGAATAACTGCAAAATCACAGGATATAAAAGCTTGAAAAGGATTTGGTGAATTTAATGTGTCCAGAAAGAAAAGGCCAAAAATTTGCCTACTTTGGGGTGCTACGTGGTACTAAATGGAAACTACACCTTTCCTTTTTCTCTCCTTTCCCTTACTTATTTGGATTTGTGCTGCTCGTTTCACAGTATCACAGCCCCTTCAATCCTTCTTGCAAGTTTAAACATTATTATTTACCATCCCTTTAGCTTGAAAAGAAGTCATCTTTTCTTGTTCTCCACCCCACTTCAATACTCTTAATAGTTCTTAATTATATTTAATGGTCTTATCACTTCCCCAGCCCTCTTTTCTCTCCCTCCTAGAAAAGTAGAAAACAAGGAATTATATCGTGTCTGCCTCCAAAGCAACAGTTCTACCCTATAAAATTGCACTAATTGATTGTTGACCTCAAAAGTAACTTTAGACTAGAGATTATGCTCCCATTTGCCTTTCATTGTTCGAATTAATATTTATGGTAGGAAAACTTATTCTGCTTCTCTTCTTTCCAATTTCAATATGAAGAATCATATCATTGCAATCCAATCCTTAAGATGCCCCTCATTCCCTCAAGACTTTCCCTTTTTGGGTGAAAACTTACCTAATCTTCTACCTGAGAAGACAGGCCAAGCAAACATACACAAACATAAATAAGATAGAGAATCAGTCCTCCTCTTTCACACATCTTATTCGTGGATGTCCAGTTAATTACAAGAATAATTGATGCTCTTTTTCGTCTTTTTGAAAGTCACTATCAGAGGATTCCATTGCATTATTCCTCTTGGGAAGGAATATATAAAACAGTAACTGTATAAATTATTCTCATCTTCCAGCAAAGATATGAGGTTGTTTAAGTTTAAAAATTTCCAGTGCTTCACACCTGTCAATAAGAAAATGCTACAGCAAACATTCAAAGATTCCAAATGGTAGGAGGGGATGGAAGCTGGATGACTTCAATCTGAGTAAGCCCATTACAACATTTAGCATGCAGGAATAAAACCCTTTTCTTTTTGAGTGATACAAGTAAGAAATCTACAGGATCTGTACCACTGTTGTCGTCGCCTTTCTGACTGGTGAGGAGTCACCAATTCAGTTTTTGTTCCCAGGACAATATCTTTGGCTTGCCGATAACCAACAAAGCAAATTTACTCAAGGGATGCGCATGTGAGTTGTGAATTATGATGTGAAACAATCATAAACAATTCCAGATTTTGCAATAAATTGTCTAGTTAAAAAATGTAACACTTGCTAGGCAGTATTGAAAATTTTATAGGACTCGTATGTAATATCATTCAACCCGCATTAAGTCTGCAACTAAAAAACAAAACAGTCATGCAATCAATATGTCTGTTTTCTCATGAGATGTGCATTCTCACAATTGAGACAGATAAGTACAGCTCTGATTTAGTTTTCAACTTAGAATAAGCCGCGTGATTATAATACTGCTCAGACTAAGTATTTTTTTTTGTCAGAATGTCAATCCATCCGAGGTTATCCCTCCAAAAAAAAAATACTACTAGTCGGTAATTTGTCTATTTATATTATTAGTAGAGGGGAAAATATGAAAAGAGGCCTAAAAATCAGTACTGCACAGTGTCAGGTTTCAGAGATAATTTCCCAGCTAAAGCCGAAATCAGAGAGAATGGGAGAGAAAGAAGAAGAAGAAAGAGAAAGTGAGAAGAAAGAATATTTAGACTTTGTATGCATAGCAAATTTTTCCAAAAAAAATTTTCACTTGCATCATAAATACATTTTTCAATCCACCTTTTTATATTTCTAATCACTTTTTTATCTCACATATATTACATCACAAAAAATGTTACAATAATTATTTTAAATAATTATTTGGGATAATACTCTATCCATACTAACAATTTCTTGCATTCAATTCCTTAACTATTTTCTATTACAAGAGGACTATTTATGCAATTATTCCTAACTAGTTGCAACAAGGAAATAACCGCCATCTTAAATCTATCGACATAGTATTCATGGTAGGTAATCCTCCTGATTCAAATGCACAACTTCATGCATAAAACGACGCCCCCTTTTATTTTGAAGATCCAAACAATCCTTTCCCCTTAAACGAAGCTTGTTCTCAAGCTTGAAATTCTGGAAATTGCCTGTCAATGAAACTCCTATCCTCCCAAGATGATTCTGACTCTGGTAGATTACTCTATTTCACCAAATACTAAATGATTGATTGAGAATTTCGCATGATAACTGTGAGAACCCGAAAATTTTCACATTTTCTAGACATTATTTTATTTCTTTGCCTACATTTTAATACTTGTCTTTAAAATATTAAAGTTTCTATACATTTTTATAAGTAAGTACAGTTTTAAATCATTTTCCTGATATGAGTTAGTGTACGTTAAATTTGAAGTGCATTATAGATGTGGGACCCGCTAGAGCGATATAAATTTGGTGACTAAGTGATTTTTGTGCTAAATGTTATTATTTTACAAGGTACTAGGAGATGATTAGAAGTTAATTAGATAGATTACTATTGGGAGAAAGAAGATAAGGTTTAAACATTAAAAGAGCCAAGTGTTACCACCTCATTGGAAGTTGGACTTTGACAAGGATTATTTCACTTTCCTAAAACAAATTTTGACCCAAAATTTCGTCATTTTCTTACCTTCTTGGCCGGCTGTTTTGAGGAGAAAAACAAGAGAGACTACTTCAATTTCTTGCTTCCAAATATGCTCAAATCTTGAGTTTTAGCCAACCAAATTTGAAACTACTCCATACAAGTGCTCACTAAGGAAACTTAAAGGCTTTGGTGAAATTATTTTGGAGGAGGAAAGTCTAAACTACTATCTTTCTTGTGGTTTTAAGGTATCTTGCCAAGAAATCTCTCTTTACTTCTAATACTAGCTTATTTGTGGTTTAAGGGTGCAAGATAAGTAGCTTTATGGGAATATTTCATGGTTTGAGGTAGAGTTATGTAAAATTTCAGTTTTATGATGAATTTTCTGCTCACATGTGATGATTAATGGTTGGCCATGTTTTACTAATTTTAATATGTGAAAAATCTAGTGTTTTGGTGTTAGTTTCATTTGTCTAAAGAAATTCCAGTTTGGAATGCATCAATTTCAGTTTTAGGGTTTCTAATTGAGCATGATTAGGGTTAGTTTAGAGCTACCAATTGGTTGGATTTTAAAGGGGTTTTGCTAGCCTATGATTTGTGTGTGTGTTTATGGCTGTTTTGAATAGATGTTTGTGGTTAAGTATAGGGTGGAAAATAGAGAATTCAAGGGAAAATGCTGTCCGTTTACTTTCTTGTATTGAGTGAGTAAAAGTGAGATTAGAAATGTGATTTTGTGATGCATTGGATTTACTTTGTTTAGAAATGCTTAGGTCCACTCTAATGGTATTAGATGAGCTAAATTTCACTTGAACTTATACATTTTCGCATAGTGAATGTGACAACCGTTTTAAACATGATACTTGGTTACAAACGTCAAGTTTTGAACTTCAAATGTTTACTCAATTTCTTCCCAAAACAAAGAAGAGTTGCATAGGGTTTCTCGGCCACAAAACTTATTTTATCAAGCGAGACTTTAGGTGTGAATTTAGGGTTTGTTTATCTTTCTTTTCATATGATTTTACTCAAAACACTTGTTATATGTTAATTCTTTGCATGTGTGTTCGTTTTGAGCCAAACAAAGAATTTTACGAAAAAGGAAAAAAATGTTTCTTCAAATCCGGCCGTGTATCCGGCCAAATCTTGGCCGGATTGCTGGTCGGATTGACAGGGAAAGAAGAAAAAAATTTGGAATGCTCACTGCATTGAATCCGGCTAGATTGTGACATGGCATCCGTTTCAGTTGTTTTTCGATGAAATTTTCTAAAATCTTTTGAGTTTAATTTTGTCTTTGATTTGGGAAAGTCTTAATTACTCATGTTCTTTTATCTAAATGTACCCTTTTCACTTCAAAAATTATAGTTATACATTGTACTAGTAGGTATTCGAATTTTCTTTGATTCACCTAAAATTTTGATGGTTGAAGCATAATGTGTTCTCTTGGTTACTCTTAAGGTTCCTTGGTGATTGAGAGTGTTATCCGGAAGGATACTTTGAACGTTATTTTGCTTAAATAGGTGAGTGTTCTATATACGTTCTGTTTCCTGTGACTATGTGGATTGTTGTGACTATGTGATTATTTGTGAATGTTTGATTAAATGTTAATTGTTTTCAATGATTTTTAAAAATGAATTTTGCTAGGCGAGTGTGTACTTTATCGTACTTGACCTAAATGAATGTGAAATTTATAATGTTTAAACGATTAAATGATTAAATGCTATTTGTGCATGAATGTAAGTCTTTTGGCTGAATTGGGTCCTTGCTCTTCGTTACCAGTCGACTCGAGCCAGAAGAGAACTCGGTCGGGCGATTGGTGACCCTGGGTTAATGTTTGGTATACTCGAATATGACCACGAAATATGGTGGAGACTAGCCAATGAATTGGCTAGAAGGGAGAAAATGAAATGAATGAATTAATGGCAGGAACAATGGAGGGATTTTCACTTACAAATGAAATTATTTTAATACTGGAGGAATAAGGAAATGGTTGGTGGAATGAATGAACAAAAGGCTCCATGTGAACATATATTCTTTTAATAAATGTGTTATCATTGATTTATATTGTAAATATTTTCTAAATTATTTGTTATTACATGATTAATGTTCTTGTTTAATTACTTGTTTATGTGTATAGAATCTCGCTGGACTTTTAACTCATTTATTTAGTCTTGTTTTCCTTACAGGGGATGCGAGCAAGGACGAGAGACCTATATAGAAAAGTATAGTCTAGCTCTTTTAAAATTTTTGCTTTGTTCTCGCTCTAGTACTCAGTTAGGGCTGAATGTATTGGGAACTTAAAGTTTTTATTATATTTGGGATTGTATTTCTGCTTGAAATAGATATGAGTGTAAGTTTTCGTTTTAAGTTTGGGAATTGTTATTTCACTTATTCTCGAGATTATATCTTATTTTATTTGAATAGTTTGAGTGAGTCCTGATGAGAGTTGTCAGACGGTCTGCCGAACCCTTTGGTTCGCCTTAGGAAAAAGTGGGGCTGTCACAATAACCCGCCTTTTAAGAATCTTCTTAGGTTTTAGTAAATAGTGATCTGCTGCATTTAGTTATGATAGAGTAGATTCTATAGTTTGAGTAATTCCAATCTTCTTTTTCAACAAGTAAACGTGGAATACTGGATGGATTCTAGCTCCTT